AAACACAAGAACTTATCTAAACTGGAATTCCCTGGCAATTGCCTGTGTATGTACACTACATTTTCAGGTGGATTGCCACATATTAATTATGACATATCTTAAACAATCTTGCATTATAAAAGAGGCCAAAAAAACTCTATTACTGTTGCATTATGAAAAACATGATAATTAATTATGACATATCTTAAACAATCTTGCATTATAAAAGAGGCAAAAAAAAAAAACTATTACTGCTGCATTATGAAAAACATGATAGTTAAGCACTGTAACAGGCCAGACTACCTAGACAGGCTGTGAAACCCCTCTTTACTGGAGATTTTAGAGATGTTAGACAGACATTATTATCTGTACTTACACAACCAGACCATAGAGGAAACAGAGAAAATTTCCAACCTTATGCTTCTGTGAACTTATGCTTTAGGAAAAAAAATGAGGGGAAAAAAACCCAAAAAACACCACACCACCAAAAACCACAAACAAGTAAATAACAATCAACCACAAAAAACCCACCCAAAAAAACAACAAAAAAAAACCACCATAAAATCCACACTGCAGAAAATAAGTTTGTGTACTTAAATGTTAGTCTTTTGGGGAACAGTTCCTGTATTTCACTTATTCTTAAATTCAAAATCAAGCAGTGAGTAGCTCCACTAAGTCTACAATCTCAATAAAATTAATAGTTACTGCCTGTAAGCTATGCACAGATTCCAGTCCTACCCAACCTAAATCATCATCCAGCCTGTTTTATTCAGGGCATAAACATTTTGTTCCAAATGAAACTTTACACTCAGCTCACAGCCCTGGCTATAAAGTTGTATTCTGCCCAGAAAATGACAGCACATATTCATAGCACAGCCAGACTGAGTCCAAACACAATGCAGCTCCAGTACCAGGCACTCTGTTGTTAGGAATAAAACATTTCTGAAGAACTTTCTTGACTCTCCAGTGAGAAAGGCAGAGGAAAATGGTTATCTACCAAGGAAACTATGCCACTGACTATACAAACTACTGATAAATACTTAATGAAATATGAAAAGGAATGGGAGCAACAACGTAAAAGTCAACAAATATTTCTTTACAGAAATTTGTAATAAGTGCTAGGGAGATGCCATCAAAATAACCACTTCAACAAACTTCACTGTAAGCATAATTTTAAGAAATACAGTTCCCTCTTTATCGAGGGTGAAGTGAGGTTGGCCTGCCTTCGTCAGAGAAGGATAGGCAATTGAGCCTTTTGAGGCAACTGAACTTTTTACACATGGTTCCTTTGAGGTTATCTGTGTAATGTTTCAGGGCTTGATCTTTGGGTTCCTTGGCCACCAGGTGAGCACAGCTTCCATTTCCTCACTGGCTGTGCCGACACTGCACAGTGCAGTATCCCAGTCCTGAAGTTTGCTTGGGAACTGGAAGCACCAGAGTTAAAATATCACAGAGGCTCATACAGAATGATTTACCTAATGGAAAAAGGCTCTTGCCAGCAGGGTGAAGGGCTCTGTGCAGAACCCTGGGCTTGCACAGCTCCACAATCTCTTTACACGAGCACACAGCCCGGTGTCCAGGCTGCACTCATGCTGTGGTTATCCTTCAGGCACAGCAGTGCTTGGCTCCCATTTCCCAGCCTAAGATTTCAGAGAGGGCTCCCAACACAAACAGAAAAATCAACTGAATTTTTAGGTTACATTTGAAAAAAATATAAACAGTGGGAGTAGCTCTTTTAAAAAGTAGAAATCAGGGTGCAGATAAATTTAAAAAACCCCACTGTTTAATATGCAAGATACAAGGGTCAGTTACTAATTTGAAACACTGAATTAAAAGAACTAAGTTGAATATCCAAAGGAGATTATTCCTCATTTCAGCCAATTCACATTTCAGACAAATTATGTTGAAATACTAAAGTAACTTAAATGAACAAGACAGAATTAGATAAAGATGCTTCAGCTCACTCATTTTAATTAATAATAAAAATTATCATTAAAAAAAATTTCAATCTCTATCCAATTCCTTTCACACTTTAATTTTTGCAGCCCTATTGAACCGCACCGATACAGAATTATGAAAATACTCCCAAAGATAAAAGGATATTCTGTTTGCTTTAATTTTCACCTTATACTTTCTTCAAATAATATACACATTAGACAATGGAATGCTGTCTACCCTGGACATGTATGCAGAAGGAAAAGTGGTTCAGTATTACATATCACAGAACGTAAGCAAGTGAAATGAGGAAAGATTGTATCTTTAATATCTGGTCCATACGAACACCCAAACAAAATTCTTTTGCAATACTGGGGAACAGCTCAAAGGTTCACCAACCACCTCTTCAGGCACAAACCCTCATGACTAACACACCAGAATCCTCTACAATATAAAGACATATTTATATATGTCTCACAGGTCTAAACAAAAGATTTAGAAATATGTATTCAAATAACTTGAAAAATAAAGAACGAAGTATTGCAAACCATTTTCGTCCAATACTGCTTTTTAAACCTCTACCCAAGACTGCTGTCAGTAAAATGTCCTCACTAAAGCATTTCTCTTTACAAAGACTAATACATTATTTAAATGCAGACTTATGAGATAACTGTTAAGATCTGTATTTTATGGAGGAAGCCAGTAATATTTTCCTCCTAATAATCAGCAAATATTTCTGCATCTAGAGCTAGTTCTTCATTATATCTTCAGTTAGAAAGGGGAAGGAAGAACCACCTTCTTGCTTCATTCATATTCCAGATTATGAGTGGAACTATCATCTACAACCCCACAGTAAGATTTTTTGTGTCATCTCCTTTCTTCATTGTTTTATCTTCCCTTTCCTCCCCATACTAAGCCCAGGTCTTTGTGGAGCTCTCCCCAGAGAGATCCAGATATTCTCCTTCAGACAGAAACTTAAAAACCTGTTATCAAAATACTTTCCCTGTGATGTCATGATTTTGCATTTATAGGCACTCAATTCTATACACTGCTGAGATATAGTATCTGTTCACTAATCAGAAGAAAGAATTAATAGGGGTTTCAAAGCTACAAAGGCAGCATTTTCACTCTGATGGGAGCATACAGTTCATACTTTGGGGGAGGGGAAGAGAAGAAAGAGTGTTGGCTCTTTCATGAACATAAAAGGGCAGAATTACACATTAGTGTAGCTTCCCCATGTATAGACATTTTTTTCTGAAATGCAGTGTAAACTTAAAATCAGCCATTAGCTTCCTTAACTAAAGCTCAAATCATCCATGTAATTACTTTTACAGAGGATTATGACCAAGTTTTTTTAAAATGTGAATTGTTAAAATTTCACAATTAAGAAATAAATCACAAAGGGAAAATAGGTTCCTATTCACAAACCAACCGACCAAGCTGGCATCGTTAATACCCTTTTAACAAGGCAGAACTGAAATACTGGGAATGCTGTTGCCAGGTCAGAACTGAATTGGGTAAACCGTGCAAATGGTTTCTTACAGCACCTGCCCAGCCCTTGGCCTGGTACAAATCTGTGCTGGCTCCTTCAGTAACCCTTCTTCATCAGGGCACAGAAATTACCAACCCACTGAAGTTTTCACAAATGCAAAAAAAAGCCTACACCTTTTTAAAAAATACATTTGAAAGACAAGTTGAGATGCTGAGCATTCTTGATTCTTATGTACTTTAATACCAAGATTTTTGACCTTCAGAAGTCCCTTCTCCCAGGATAAAAAAAGAGGGGAATAAACCAAAAACACTCCTCAGAAACGACCACAGAGAGACGCTGCAGACATCCATCTAAAATAATGGCAGTCAAAGGTCAGGATGATACAGGGAACATCAAGCTTTTCATTTATGAATCTTCCTGAAAGAGACCTCTTAGTAAGCAAAAGCAAGAAAATCAGGGACTATAGATGTAGAAATTGCCTAAACATGTCATTTACAGGATTTTCCTAATAATGGCACCAAGTATCTTCAACTTTAACAAATTAATTTTAAGACCTCACTGAAATATAACATGGAAACCACCACCAGCTTGTTGGGTCATCTTAGCAAGATTCAGCAATTTTCCTCTGAAGATCACTTATGAACTATATCCAGAAGATTACAAAATATCACAAAGAAAAGCAAGCACTGCAGATTGGATCCTGATCAGTAAAACGACAGAAAAGTCGTAGGAGTCTTACAAAAGTGCTGGAAAATGCATACTGCAAGAACAATTGGTATTCCTGCCTAACAAAGCTGGGTTACACTCGAAGGCTCCAACATGTTAATCTGTCACCGTGACAGAAAAGCAAAGGTTGCCAGACCAACACACATCTCCTTTCCAACACCCTGCATATCTAACACTGAGCTTCCGAAGGCAATTAAAAATAGGACTACAGGGTCCAAATATATGAGTAAGGATGCTCCTAGCATTTCTGCTTCCAACTTCTTGTTATAAAAAATGAGTACCATTCAAGACCTTTCAGCATTTCTTAATAGTGTTTTTTTGTGTTCTGTAATCACAAGTGACAAAAGAAATAGCTCCATATTTGCTTCAGATCTCTCCAGGGGAAAAAAAATACACATTACAGTAATTCTGTTACAAAACTACAGCACATGTGTAAGGCCCCGAGAAGCACCGATGCTGATAAAATTAAAAATGGCTGTGCCCGAAGATCCCACAGCGAAACAGGCACAGCTCTGCTGACGATTAAAATATATATTAAAAATTCCTGCATTACCTTACAAAGGGCGAGGTATGCAAAACAAAAAGATTATATATATTTCCAAAACTGAAGTAAGTTATTAGACAAGAGATGCAGATCTAAGCAAAGCATTCTTACTGAGTGTGCAGGTCGAGCTCATTTACACAATAAAGCAGATTTTATTCCCCGAGACACCTAACGTATCGGGATTTCCAAACTTTTATCAGGCTTCGCCGCCGAAATAGATGCACAGCACTTGGTAAGAAGGCACAGATGTGCCCAAATACCAGCGGACCCCACCCCCTTCCCGCTGCCAAAATGGCCAGTTCCTTACACCCGGTGGCTACTCACCAGCCGCAGTGCCGAGCAGCAGGGTGGCACTGGAGAGCAGGAGCACCAGCACAAGGTGCTGCAGTGAGGCAGGCATACCTGGGCAAGACACGGTTCGAGCCGGCGGGAGAAAAAATAAAAGGGGGGTAAAAAAAAAAAAAAAAGCCAAACCCCGAAGAGAGGAAATTCCTTCTGCTTTCGCACAGCCTTCCTGAACTCTCTCGGTTTACAATCCCGTCTGGAAGGGCAAATGGCAGATGAGAGGAGCCGTCTTCGCTCTTACTCCATTACAGCCGCCTGCCTTCATGCCTCGGGAGCCGGCAGCGCTCAGCGGACACGGGGGAAGCGCCTGGCTCTGCCTCCCAGCCCCGCGGCATCTCCCCCGCCGGGGAGGACGGCGGCACGCTCCCGACCCCGCTGGGAACCGGGCTATTTCCCACGCAGCTTCACGACATCGAAGAAAGCGCCCGGTTGGGAAGGGAACATATCCAGACGCGCCCACAGCGGTGTCAGTCAGCGCGGGCCCCGAGGGCCGGCCGGGGCGCGGAGAGCGAGCTAGGGGCTCACGGCGGCGGCGCGTCCCATCCCGGCAAAGGTCTCTGTCCTCCGGCCGCCCCTCCTCTGCCTCACGCTCCGGGGAAGGCGGCGGCGAGGCCCGCTGTTCTCACGGCGAGGGCTGCGGCTGCATCCCGGCCCATCTGCCTCCCGCGCCGGGCGGGCTCCTCCGCGCTGCCCCGGCCCCCGCCGCAGCACCGACGCCACCCCCGGCCACCCCGACAAAGGTGGGGCCCGGGGCGGCGAGGCCCCTCCTCGGCGGCTCCAGCTGCGAGCGCGCCCGGCTGCTCTCCGCGGGCGAAGGCCCTTCCCCTCCTCCGCCTCCCGCCCCGAGTTTCCACAGCGCTGGGCAGCCTAGCCCGGCCTCCTCACGCCGGTCTCCGCTCAGCCTCTCCGCGCTGCCAGCGCCTTCCTCCCCCCGCGCCGGGCTCGCCGGCGAGGGGCCGCTCCGCCTCCTTCCCCTGCCCGCCGCCGGCTGCGGGCGGGAGCCGAGCGAGGGCCGGAGCTCCGCCGCCCGCGCCCCCTCTCGCCCGCCCGCCCCAACAGCACGGGCGGCTCCAGACACAAAGGGGAGTCGCTGCAGCCGCCGGCCCGGGCGCCCGTCCCGCCGCACCGCCCCCGCCGCCCGGCTCCGCCCCGCACCATAGAGGTGGCTCCAGGTAGGCAGAGCGGGGCCGCGGGCGGAGCTCCGCTGGCTGAGGGAGGGGGCGCGGGCCGAGGGCACCGCCGCGGGTTGGAGCCGCGGGCCAGGGGCGGCTCCGTGAGGAGGGGAAGGCCCCGCTAGACCTTCCCGGGAAGGCCGCGATCGGCCCCCCCACCCCATGCAGGCTGTCTGTGAGAGAGGCTGTCTGTGGGGAGGCGTGAGCTCAGGATTCACAAAAAACGCCTGTAACAACAAGAAAAAAATGTGTAGCAGTCTCCGAGATTGCGTCATGCTTGAACTCGGTGGCCTGCCTGTCAAACACCCGGAGCTTCTGCCTCGTCCTCGGGTTCAAGCCCCCGTTATCTCTGTCCCTGTGAGCTCCCCTAGCAGCCCTGGCCCTACCGCCCGCTGCTCTCCCTCGGTGAGGCCAGGCAAGGCACGGAAACACTGATCAGTTAGGTTGGAAAAGACCTCCGGGATCATCGAATCCAACCTGTGACCGACCACCACCCTGTGAGCGAAGTGCTGCATCCAGTCTTTCCTTAAACACCTCCAGGGATGGTGACCACCACCTCCGTGAGCAGTCCATTCCAGTAGCTAATCACCCTTTCCCTGAAGGATTTCTTCCCAATGTCCAATCGGAAATCCACTCAGCTCGTATGGCTTCAGCCACGTGATTCTCTCAAGCAAAACCATTATCTACCTCTTAAACTAAAGAGATTTTATGATTTCAAAACAAAGATAAAGCAAGCCCACTCAGCTGTTTGTATGCTTTAACCTTTGCTGTGTTGCACAGGACCAAAGAGATAAATTGAATGCAGCAGCTGATGGGAGAGCTGTGACTGGAACGTAGTGTCTGATGTTCTGGCCTAGCAAGGCTCTTTCAGACAAGTTTTACTGGATGTTGCATAGAAAAAGGGTTCTTAAGAGCACCCTGCACACCAAAGGCACCTTCATATCAGGGCAGGACTAAAGGTTTGATTATGGGAAATGCTTCCCTCTGCCAAAATTCCTATACCAGTTTCAAGAGTGGACTACAAGTTCGGAAATCCAATTCTATGCCTCAAAATATTGAATACTACTACATAAAATGATGTAGTTGCAGTCAGAGTCACAATTTTAGCGATAATAAAAGTTTCCTGTACAATTCCATTCCTCTTCACAAGCCATAATGGATGAAATAGATGTAATCTGATACCTTGATCATCAAGAGAATTAGTAAATAAATTGTACTAGGATTTTCAGCATTGTGATGCTTTCACCAAGGTCATAGTTTGACATTCCTAAGGTCAAGGTGAATTTACACTGATAATTATGAAGTTTCCTACAATATTTTTACTTCCAATCTATGCAGATCCAACATGGACATTGGTGAGACAATAAAACATAGAATCACAGATTGTAATTTGTATTGCCACTTTCCAGAATTGCAACCGCACGTTAACCACAGTATCCTTCCTGTTATTTGTGAAATGTGAATGTCAAGACACAACTTTTAGAAGCAACACCAACACCAACTCTCCCCCCTCAACAGCTAGAACAATTTTACCTCCAAGAGAGGAAAAAACCCCCAACACTGAATATTTTTCTGCAGCACCGAAATCCAGTGTTCTTTTCTGGTTCCACAGACACCAAACTATGCAACCCACCTTCTGCCCAGCTGTACCTGCCAATAAAAGAAGCAAGATCTACTTTGTTCAGAGAAAACAAGAACCTTGCCACGTGGGTTGCACAGCACTGCCACTGTTTAGATGGTGAAAGAAAATTACTGTAATTGTTTATGACGTGCATGAAAACCTGCTCAGCCTGAAGTAAATGACAGAGGTCTCACTTGTTTCAGTGGTTCTAGTTTTGGCTCATTAATTAATACTAGGAGTTCTTCTCCACAAAAAATTGTACAAAAATATATATTCTGGCTTTAAATAGATCTTTTTTCTCTCCACAAAATGGATTTGAATTTTGTTCTGTGTTTTTCTAAAATGAAGGGAAAAGACATGTCACTTTTAATATAGTTATTTCCTTTTAGTTTCACCAAAACCCCAAACCTGATCAAGAAAACACCCTACTGAAGGGCATGGGGCTGTGCAGCTGCTTTGCTGGGGTTTCTGTCAAGAGTTTCCCCTCCTTCCCTAAGCTGTCTTGAGCGCTGTAGCTGTTCCCTGCAGGGCTGGTCCCTCCTGGTGTGGCTGTGAAGGCAGAGCAGGAGCTGTGGCACCCCGGTGTCCCCGGAGCCGGCAGGGCCAGGAGGGGCTGAGCCCCACACAGATGGAGACAGCAATCGCTGCAGTCTAAGCACAGAAACAGCTTCCTTTTCCCACGGTGGTGGGAGGAAACCAGAGATCCAAACTGTCACAGTCAGGCTCGCTCATTGTTATGTGCTTGGACAAGAACATATTTATAATTCTTCCTGTGATATTGTTGTATCTGTAAGCTAGGATTTCGTTCTATTCAGCAACACCAAGTAAGACCTACAGAAAAGTAGTCAGGATAATGAAAAATTGCAGAGCTGCAGGACAGTAAATCAGGGGTGCAGGTTCAGGTAAAGATAGGGGGGAGACACAAGAAAACACATCAAATTTACCAAGATTTAAAAGCCAATATTCTGACTGAAGCACCGTATTTCCATCAGGAAGAACTCTGACCAATGAAACAACACAACTGAACTTAGTGCAGATAAGACTGTTAAAAAATGTGAGGAGGAAAGGCCTTAGGAAGCAGATGGTCTTTTGCAGCTGTGCTCAGTGATCTCCCAGCCAGGCAGAGGCATGGTCATGGGGCAAGGACAAGGAGAGTGGCGGAGGAGCCAGGGTCTGGTGGCTGGAAGCTCCCCAGGATGCAGGTCAGATGCAGCAGGGGACGTGTATCTTGCCCTTGGGTGAGGGAGTCTGAACAGCACAGGCACAAACAGCACGTGGGGGTTGCCCTTTGCTTCAGTGAGACGCAGAGAGGAGAAATGCAGCTGATAGGAGGCTCAGGAGTGTCCCACTCTGGCTCAGACTCATGCAGACACAAACATGTTGATATCACTGGCAAATTCAACACTGCACATAAGAGAAATTAAACATGTCCTTGTTAGCAGCATCTCCTTTAAACAACACACATCTTTATTTTTAATCAACTGGAATAAGGGAAGCTATTTTCATGCTATCAAGAGAGTATTCCAATCAGTGGGAAATAAGATGAACAAAGAATGAAGAAAACTGAAATGAACTATGAAACAATAGCTTGAGTTTCATTTCTTTTCAGAAAATCCAATGTTCAGGCACTTTAAAAAGATTTCTCAGGGTAGGTTCACTGTTATCCAAGAGTTTTTCAGCGCTGATGCAATATAACTGTTATCATCGTTAGGACTCAGGGGACTGTTCTTTTTGACAGGGCCTTTCATGAAGTCAACAAATCAGTTTAAAACAAGCCATAAATTATATTTGGCTGCCTGTCAGCTTGGCTGGGGTGTTCTCCCAGCGCTGCTGTAAGTGTTGGGGAAAGAATATAACAACAAGTCCAGATATTTTGCTTTTAGGGGATATTTTGTTCCTAATTTAAAAAGAAAGCATCCCCCTAGCATTGACTCTGATGCATAAACATATGTTAGAACAGCCATCAAGATTTTTACAGACTTCTCTACAAATAAATACACCCGTTCTGGATCCTAAGTGATAGCTTAATAAATAATGGACTCGGTACAGATCTCCCCAACAAATGCCTGCCACTCATTGCTAAACTAGGGAACTGTCAGCAAGATCATCGCCCCAGTCTTGCTCCTGTAACTGTATGTGGAAGGAAAGGTGGTTCCTGATAGATGGGATCCAAGGCTCCTATAGCTCTCTAGATATTATTAACATCCTGAATTGCAGCCAGAACTCACAGAAAAGACAATAGTGTCTACTTACAGTCTGCTGAGTGAGCAGCTACAGCTTCAGCCAGCGCAGCCAAACAAGTAATCCACACAGACATCATTACCTTTGGAAGTGTTCGGTTCCTTGTTTTATTTGGATTCTCCCATCAGTGTCCAATCCTGGCTGCTGCAGAGTGGCAATAACACCCTCATAAGTCCCCTTGGAGTCAGG